TGGACCCCCGCGAGCTGACCGGGTAGCTCGATCCCCGTCATAATCAACGAAGTGGCAATCTTGAAAGAATTAACATCACAAACTTCTCTGCACAGCACAATTCGGATTGGATTCGCATCTAACAAACTCATAGCCTCACTGAAATAAAAGTGGGAAAACAAGTACAACTGAAAGGAGTTTTGTCAAACGGGATTGCCAAGAATAAAAACCTAACACAATTTGTTTCAACTTTTAAGCAAGACAGGCATTGAAAGAAAAAATTTGTGTTGCTGTGTGGATTTATTTATCAATCTATGAGGAAACAGAAAAGCCTCCGGGTGATCCATCTAAGTATGTATTCCTTCATTGCTTTTGCATTTAGATTTTATAAAATGTAATTGCAGGAGATGGAAAGATTAAAGGGGACATTTATGGAGTGTCTAAAACTACTGTAGTTGAAAAAGTATGGGTTGTTGCTCAAGCAATCGGAGACATCGCTTTTGCTTTCACATACAACATTATTCTTTTGGAGATAGAGGTGTGACAATTGTCCTACTACTAAAAATATCACACATTTTACTACAACCTTCCATTTTTTTTTTCTTCAGATGTTAAATGTAAAGAGTTTTAATATAATTTTGAAGCTAAAAAAGTAAACCACAAACTTTCGAGATGAAGGACACCCTGAAGTCGCCACCACCAGAAAATCAGACCATGAAGAAGGCCTCTACAGCAGCTATTCTTCTTACTACCACCCTCTATCTTTGCTGTGCTTGTTTCGGGTATGCAGCCTTCGGCGACCAAACACCTGGAAATCTGTTGACTGGCTTTGGATTCTATGAACCGTATTGGCTTGTTGACTTTGCTAACGCATGTGTCGTTCTTCATCTCATTGGAGGATATCAGGTGCTCCTTAATTCATGAAATTAAATATGACATATTTGTGCTGCAATTGAGGTTTAATCATAGATATGCATATGCTCCAACTGTACTTGAATTTAATGTACATCTTTTATACGAATTTCAGTGAACGAATTTACATTGCTACTATAACTTGTTAGGAATTCACAGTGATTTTAAACCTCCTTTCAGTCATTTCTTCAGTTGAAAGAAAAAAAAAAAAAAACTGAAAGTATCCCCACATATACATCAATTTCTATCATATCATACGGTTGTTCCTAAATTTATATTCTAAACAAAAAAACAAATTTTTTTCTTTGTCTTTACAGTGTCTACATGCTAACATTTTGAAAATTGTTATGCCCCCAATCTTTTGACCTCGATCACCATTCAGTAGACATACAAATGAAATTCTTATGCTCTCACATATACACATACCCAGTTATGGCTAATTCGCAAACATATAGTCGCCAAATTTTAACTCTAGTCTTAACTTAAAACCAACTAAAAACATAACTATCTGCTTGGAACTAAAAACAAATCAGCTATATATCCTTTAAATTTATATGCAAAGTGTCTTTAGACTAACTTAAAAATGATTAGCGTGCTTAATGCTTGTATAAACTAAAGTCAACCAGTACAGCACAAACTGGATTTTGTGGATGCTTATGGTTAAATTCTAAATTCAGGATTCTTTATTTTATCCTTAATGTTCTTGCTGGTAAGTGTATACTACCTCTCTTTAATATTTTTCATTTGGTAGGTGTACAGTCAGCCATTATTTGCTGAAGCAGAAAGATAGATAACAAAGAAACTCCCCGACAATGAATTTGTCAACAATGTTTACACCATCAAGCTGTTGGAGATAAAAAAAATAACACTGAAAACAGAGGCAAAAAACCAGAAAAACAGAGGCGAAGAAATATATAAAAACTGAACTGTTGGGTCCTCTTATTCTAATTTAAATGCTGAAGCAAATGTGCCTATATATAGGCTTACAACCAAAACAACCAAACAGATTTTTATGTACCACTAAGGCACTAACTTAGACCACTAGAGCCACTAGCATAATATCAGCAACAACTACCCAATTGACTAAACAAACTCAGTAAAATATGGACACTACTAACAACCTGAAAAGACCAAGTCAGACTTTGAATCATTCTTCAACACTCTCCCTTGATTCAAAGTTGTAAATGTCAAGGAAAGCTTTGAAGTAGAAAAACTTTTCTTTCGACAAAGACTTCGTCAGTATATCAGCCAGTTGCTTCTGAGTGCTATAGTACTTCAAAGTTATCTCCTCCTTCGCAACCAAATCACGAATGAAATGGAAACGAATATCTATATGTTTTATTCTGCTATGAAATGTTGGATTTTTTGTCATAAAGATGGTTGCCTTGTTGTCACAAAAGATCTCCGTTGCTCCCTCTTGCCTTTGTTGAAGTTCAGCCAACATTCTTCTTAACCATATGGCTTGACAAGCTGCTGAAGTGGCTGCAACGTACTCAGCTTCTGAGGACGACAATGCTACTGTGGCTTGCTTCTTTGAGCTCCATGTGATTACTCCTGATCCAAGAGTAAAAACATTTGCTGAAATACTCCGCCTATCATCCAAAGAACTTGCCCAATCGCTGTCCGTGAACCCACATAATTTGAAATTAAAAACTTTTGAGTACCAAATCCCATAATCCATAGTTCCAGCGATGTAACGCAAGACTCGCTTCGCTGCTCCAAAATGAAGCTTTGAAGGATGTTGCATAAACCTGGAAATCATACCAACAGAAAATGCAATATCGGGTCGAGTGTGGGTTAGATAAATTAAACCACCAACCAAGCTTCTAAACCTGCTAGCGTCAGCCATTTCTGCCCCATCTTCACACTGTAATTTTTCATTGATATTCATGGGTGTAGTTGCTGGTTTACAATTAAGCATGCCAAATTTATTAAGAAGATCCTTGGCATATTTTCTTTGGGAAATAAAAATCCCATCTTCTGCTTGTTGGACCTCAAGGCCAAGAAAATAATGCAGCAAACCCATATCAGACATTTCAAACTCATGCATCATACGTGATTTAAACTCAGCCACAAGAGAACTAGAGGAGCTTGTATAAATTATATCATCAACATAAAGACAATTAATGATGAAATCATTTTTACCTTCTTTCTTCATGTAGAGAGTGGGCTCATTCTCACTTCTCAAGAATCCATTTTGCTGAAAGTATCCATCAATTTTGCTATACCATGCCCGAGGAGCCTGCTTTAATCCGTACAACGCCTTTCTCAACTTGTACACCTTTGTCTCTTTGCCTTCAATCATGAAACCTTCTGGTTGAGTTACATAAACTTCCTCTTGTAGATCTCCATTTAGAAAGGCTGACTTCACATCAAGTTGATAAACAGGCCATTGTAATTGTGCAGCCAATGCGAAAATAATTCTCACAGTTTCAAACCGAGCTACTGGAGAAAAAGTTTCTTCGAAATCAATGCCATGTTGCTGTGCGTATCCCTTCGCCACAAGCCGAGCTTTGTGCTTTTGTATACTTCCATCTGCACCAAATTTTGTCTTAAATACCCACTTCAAACCAATTGCATTTTTGCCTTCCGGCAAGTCCATCATCTCCCATGTTCTGTTCTTTTCAATTGCTGTCAATTCTTCCACAATCGCTCTTTGCCATTCTTTTTTTGTAGCTGCTTCTCCATAAGTCATAGGATCTGAAACAGTAAGAGCAAATTGGCAAGACTCATAAATGTCTCTCAAGGATCTAAACTTTCTGGGTGGTGTTTCATCCGAAGACTCTTCAAGAGTGGACGAAGAGTCTCTCCTTGGTGAACTTGGTGATGCCATAGAGGAACCGGATGAACTTGTTGGAATTGGCACTTGACTTTCATTTGGAGAGATTCCAATGGACATAGGAACCTGTTGTTGCATTTTCTCATCACTTCCACGCCAATCCCAACTTGCATTTTCATCAAATACTACATCCTTTCTAATTAAAAATTTGCCACTAAGAGGGTTATATAATCTATATGCTTTGGGTTGCGTACAGTAACCAATGAAAATACATTTTTCAGATTGGATTGTGTATAGTAACCAATGAAAATACATTTTTTAGATTTTTCATCAAGTGTATGACGAAATTGAGAATTTACCAAAGCATAAGCAATACACCCAAAAACTCTTAAGTGACTTACAGATGGTTTTGTGCCATGCCAAGCTTCAAACAAAGTTCGATTCATGACTTCCCTTGTGGGAGAGAGATTCAATAAATGAACTGATGCTGCCATAGCTTCAGCCCAATATTTGTTCGAAAGTCCCTTTGCTTGTAACATGCTTCTTTCCATCTCCATAACAGTTCGATTCTTTCGCTCGGCGACGCCATTTTGCTCTGGAGTGTAAGGAGTTGTCAACTCCCTGTGAAAGCCATTTTCTTCACAAAAAAGATCAAAATCTTTGGATAAGAATTCTCCACCTCTATTAGTGCGAAGAACTTTGATGCAAAATCCACTTTGCTTTTCAACTTTAGCTTTGAAGTGTCTAAATTTCTCAAAGGCTTCTGATTTGTTTTCCAAAAAATAAACCCAACTCATGCGACTACAATCATCAGTAAATAGCAAGTAGTAATGACTTCCACCAAAAGATTAGTTTGCATAGGTCCACATAAATCAGCATGAATTAATTCAACACGTTGAAGCTCTCCAAGCCTTTTCAATTGGAAATTACTTTCTAGTTTGTTTCCCATAGATGCACCATTCACATAATTCAATGGAACCAATTTTCGGTAGTCCAAAAACCATGCCTCTTTCGTTTAGCAATTTCAGACCCTTGATGTTGAGATGCCCGTATTGAAAATGCCATAGCTTCGAGTCATCTTTTCCACTAGTAGCAAAGTCAAAATTCTCCATGCTTGAAACTTCCAATGGAAACATTTTGTTTTGAGTCATGTTGACATTACTCAACGTATAGCCTGAGTGCTTGTCTTTAATAACACATGCATCATTGTCAAATAAGATGGAATATCCAGTAGCCATTAATTGCCCAACACTTAGCAAATTATATCTCAAATCAAGTACAAATTGAACATTATGCAAGAGCTTTACGTTACCATGGGTAGTTTTAATGCCCACTGTACCTTTCCCTTCAACTTGCATTTCTTTGGCATTTCCAAGTTGCACCTTCAACTTATGCGTCTCATCAAGCTCTTTGAACAGGGATTTCATCCATGTCATATGATTTGAACAGCCGCTGTCTACGAACCACACATCGCTTGACTTATTGTTAGGATCAAAATGAGTCATAAAAAGCTTACTACTTTCTTCTCCGTTTTCTGCTGCATAATTCACTTGCTGATCTTTGTACCAACAATTAGTTTTTATAGGTCGAACCCTGGGTGGTAGTAGCATAGGCTCGGGCTCCGCCTCCATCTCTAGGGATAATTGAGGTGGGATCTCCGGGGAAGCTCCGTCGTGAGGTATGTCATCCGCCATCTAGAAAAAAGATGAGAAAGTGGTTGAAAATGGGTGGAAAATGCCAAAAGTCAACCCTAGTAGAGAGAAAATGGGAGAAAAAGTCAAAGCAAGGAAAAAGGCACAGAACCCAAGAAGAACTAGAGGGTAACAAGTATCAAGTGGTGAAACTCCAAGAAAAAGCACCAAAATTGATTTTCAATCGGTTCAAAACGGAGTATACAAAGAGGGTATAGCGAATCAAATGTGCGTGGGGCGTTGGAAAATGTGTACAAAGCACAGATCTCAAGAGGGAAACTATTTAGAGAGGGAGAGAGGGAGGACTTTCGAGTTTGTAGATGTAAGGAAATGAAGTTTGGGATGATATACTTAAAGACCCTTGGTGAAAAGACTAGATTGGCCCCGATCTGCCATCGGTGGCCGATGATGCCCAGGGGTGGCCGACACCCTCCTCTAGTGGCCGTCCAGTGCCTAGTGCTCCTACTTTGAATCTTGATGCTGTTTTGTGTCCTATTTCTCAAAAGGTGCAAGGAAAGGTCATTGTTGAGTTCAAATTCTCTTTGTGGAAGCTCCAAACTGTGTCGTCGGTGGTCGTCGTTCATTACTTGTTGAACAAGGTGTATCCTTTTTGCATATCACAACTCTTCCGAGAGGTAAATCAGAAAGTTGCTACTGAACTTGTTTCCATAGCCTACGCTTTCATTCTTGCATAGACTATGCATCCTCTTCATCACATATGCATAGAACATGCATTTTGTACTTAGCATAGAACATGTTGTTCATCATTCATAGAACATGCATTTTGTACTTAGCATAGAATATGCTCCCGGTACCAATCATGCATAGAATATGCTCTGAAATGCATAGAACATGCCATTACATCTCAGTTGTTGTCTTGCATAGAAAATGTGTTTCCTGTTCGTTATACATACATTGAATATGCGCTTCTCTATACATGCATAGAATATGCACTTTTCTATTGTTGCATAGAATTTGCTTCACTTTTGTTTCATGCTTTTGTTCTCGTTATGTGCATAGAACATGCCTTAATTCTTGATTGTTTTCATGCATAGAACATGCACTCTTACTCTGTTGTGTTTGTTGAGTCTCTTTCTTATGCAGACACGATATTGTATGTACGGTTCATTCAAAAGAGTTCCAGGTGGAATCACTTGTGCCCTTCGAATCGCCCCTTCCTTTTCTCCTCTCGCTTGTGGCGCGTAATGATGCTTCGGTTCGGAACATTCGAGCCTGTCCCGGTGTTCTCACCTTTCTTCCCTCCTCTCGCATGCGGCCCGTTAGGACGTTTTGGTTATAATATTCGGGTGCATCCCGGTCTTCACACCTTCCTTTTTCTCCTATTGCGTGCGGCGCGTAGGACAC